TTTCATGGCAGCACACAGACATCTACAGCAAAGCCTGCATTTATTTTCTTGCAGAACACCTCAGAAATACCTAATCCATCAACAAATATAAATAAACTCAGCCACCTAAGCCCACAGATGAGCAAGAGTGCTCTGGCTGTCACAGAAACAGATCTCTGTTATCACCAGCTTCATCAGGAGCTGTGGGCAATCTGGCTTCCACCACACCACAGACAACGGCTGGGTCCTCTCTGACCTCTCAGATGTTGTGGAGGCTGGTGGGATGGTGTAACATCTGCTCTCCACCACTCCAGAACTGTGGTCCAGAGACAACTTGCTTCTCCTCTTGCTGTGGGAGATGCTATGGTACTTGCATTTCAACTCTGCCTAAGTAAAAGAATATTCTTTATGATATATTTATTATTTTAAGCAACAAAACCCACTGCCTTAAAGCCTACTGATTTGGCTGCTAATAAACATTGTGAACTGGAGCAGCATCTGAATTTCTGAAACAGTAAATCCAGCTCTCAGCTACAAAACTGACAGCTCTCATAAAAGAAAGAAAGAAAAAAATGCAAGTAAAACATCCTAAGGAAATTACCGTTCAAATTAACTGCAGACATAAATTTATCCATCTGTTATCATAAGTGTTACTTGAAAATTATTTGCCCATAAAAATGAAATAAGCCAGAGTGGGTTTTTTTCTTAAACATTGACTTCATGTGTATAGTCTTAGCTGCCAAAATATTAACTCTTTTTAACAGCCTGTGTGCTCTTGGCTGTGTGTCTCTTTCTTGAGTGTAAATGGACCTTTATAAATTGTCTGTATAAATGATGTCTAAGGCACTTCACTGTTATTACAGATTAATAATTCCAAGTAAACCATCATGATTTTCAAAACACAAAACCCAAGTAATGCCCAAATATTATTTGGAAGTGCTCTATTTAGCTACCTTTATTCATGCAAAGGGAAAAGTTACCTTGTCCATTAAATGAAAAATATCATTTAACTGCACAAACAATAACTGCTGTTTCATTCCTGGGGTACAGTTACTGTGAATACAGATATGGTGATATTTTCACATTAAGTTTGAACATGGTAAACACTGGCAGGAGTGGAACAAAGTCCACAGAACTGGATACAGAACTGGGTCTCTTTTACCCAGAGCCTGTATTTTTCTTGGAGAAGAGAAAGAAATGAAAGTAGAAAGAAAAAAATTGCTATTTTCACTTCTACGTGTTTTATAAAGGAATAAATTAAAAGTCTGAATTACTTCAACACATTTAAATAATAAGTAAAGTCATGGAAGACGGAAAAGGCAGAAATCTATTGAAAAGTCTATTTTTTATTTTTAAGAATGACAGAAAACTGAAAAGTTCCTTTTAGAATTGTGTAATTTTTTTGGTTTGTTTTAATACTTTTGACTGGAACAAAATCCCCCATCTTTCAACAGCATAAAAAAACTTTGGTTCACTTTATGAAAAACTGTTTTATCTCAGCTTGCTTGGATATTCAAATGTCTGTCCCCTGCCTACTCCTTTGTCCCCAGGATTTGTCTGTAGGATGTTTCACAGCCTCGTGCTGTTACAGGCCAGACTCAGAACCAGCTCTCCTAGGATGTTCCACAAGGTCTTTACAGCACAGCTCTAAGTGGCACATAGTGAAATTTTAGTGGGAAACCCAGTTTACAGGAGAGCAATGACACCCAAGCACCTGGGATTTTGACTGACAGCTGCAAAAATGGACTTGTTTTTCCAGAAGAAAACAGAAAAATTTTGTTTTCCTCAAATGCCCTTTTTTTTAACCAAAAAACCAGACACCTGCATCCTCCAGCTCGGTGGCACCAGGCTCCTGGACCACCAGGCTGCCAGGATATAATCATCTTGTTTTTCATTTGAAGCCACTCACTGGATTTGTTTGGGGTTTTTTGTGGGTTTTTTTTGGTTCTACAATCAGGGAGCAAGATACACTGAGCCAAACCTGACTGGAACTTGCAAAGGCACCTGCATGGTTCTGCCTTAGTCAAGCTTATTATACTAATTAATTATTAGATGCTACAGAACTACCCATCCACGGCACTGAAATCTTACCATGAACTGAGGATGATGTCCCAAGAGAGCAACAGAGCCCCAGGAGCTGCATGCAGCTGTGCAAAACCAGGTAAAACTTCACTACAGCAGCATCCTCAAGGTACAGCTCCCTGCAGGGAGGCCACCAGAGGAACAGGCAGGGCTCAGCCTCAGGAGGGCTGTTTTCTGGGAGAGATCCTATTTCCCAGCCCCTTGGCTCCAGTTATACCTGGGAGTAACAGGATACTTCTGAGTCCATATGAATCATCCTGCAGGGCTCAGGGCTCCCTCCTAGAGCAGCCCTGGTCTGTAAAACTGCATTTGTTGAAGTATTTCCAAGGTGCTTTTCTCATAACAGGCTTATTTTCTTACTTAGGAAAATACTTATTTTCCTGATTTTGTTTGGCAGCACAGTTTTATCCGATTCTTCCCTTCCCAGAAACTATGATGGAAATGATGAAATTTGGGAACCAATTCATAATGCACATATATAATTACTATTTAATTACTATTCATTCATTAGTTCCAATATCCTCAGAATTAAGGGATTAATGCAGACATGATGCTTGGCATAAAAGGCACTATCTTCTGAAGCATATTTTCCAGAATATTTTTTTCAAATTATTTCCCCTTCATCATGTCAGTCTTAGAGATGCAGAATCTTAAATTGCATTGCTCTGGGAGCAAATAAACTCCCACAGACTCTATCATGCCTATCCTAACTGGAAGTGCATTTTGCACTAAAATTTTGCACTTCAGAATTCATGGGAATATGTAAAAGCCTCAACTTTCATCAAAAACATCCTTTACTTTTATAAAAGGCAAAACCAAACCCTCAAAGTTTTATAAAACAATTTGAATTCATGACCCAAGCACATACCAAAGAAATCCCTCAAAATAAAAGAACTCGATATAAGGATGCAAAATAAAAGATTCATCAGCAAAACCCACTCTTCAAATTCAGTGCATGGGGGGAAAAGAGGAAACAAAAATACTTCAGGAAAAAAAATGCATTTGCATCATAAGAGGAAATGAACTTGCCTTCACTTTGGTCACATAGAAGTTTTGGCATTGAAATAAATTAATATTCTTAGCGTTCGCTGCATGAAGAAAAAAACACCCCGGAGAAGAAGGCAGGCATTAATTGTATTTAAAGCAAGGATAGCCTGCAGGGGTGGCCCAATTTGGTGAGAAAAGCCAAAGGGACGCTGGAAAAAAGAACCCAAAACAAAAAGCTTCCCTTGGCATCTCCCACACCCCAGTTTTCAATAAACCCGTGTGTCTGTTCTGTCCTGCCATGCTCAGTGCCGGGAAAACAAAACATCCCAGCAACAAAGGCAGTTTTCAACATCACCAGAAATGGGCCTAAAGACAAAGTGAGCCTTGCTCTTTCTGAGCCAGCCTTCCCAAGGGATGCTCCCTGGGAGTTTCAGGTAGGTGCCCTCTGATGGGGACAGGGAATGAAAGTTAAAACCTCCTGTAAGTTAGAAGTGCCTTTCTAAAGAATGTAGCATGGAATTAGCATCCATTGGCTTACTTTCACCTCTGTTATTTGACCAAATAGCTGCAGTGGGTTGGATCCATGACTCAGTCCATGGTCTGTGGACTAGGTGTAGAGCACGACAAGTGGGCAGCGATGCCCAGTTTATCCTCTCAGCTCCATTTATGTACTGGTTAAGGGATTTCCAAAACTGGAAGCAGTTATCTAAGCCATCGTGTTCCATAATCTCCGATAAACCTCGCTCCTTGGGTTAGACAGGCTGGTTTTTATGAATGCCTGCCCAATTATGAGCCATCATGATATATTTTCCTACTGTAAAAACAGTTAAGCAAAACTTCTTGGCCAGAAATATCAGCCAAGCCTGAGATTAAATAAGCTTGGGAAAATTCAGTCCGGATACACTCAAAAAATAAATACATCAAAATGCACGTGTCTCTGCTAAAACCCACAGTCTTTAATCAAAATTCCCACTGAAGTGAGTAGCGAGAGGTGAGTTGTTGCCAAAGTTCATAGTGAGAGCCATGGGATGAGAAGCAAAGTTCTGTCAAAAATGAGAAATTGCCAAGGAGAGGGAGCAGGAGGAGCAGATTGATTCTCGACACAGCAATTTCTGCCTGCCTGAAGTTGAGGGAGCTCAAAGAGATGCTTAAGCTGGTGCTCAGTACTCTGCTGAGCTGGGGCCTGAATGGTTATTATTTATACTCTTATCACACAGAAATATGAATTCCATTGGACAAGGGAAAAGAAATAAAAAAGGGGAGAGGGGACAGTAGCATGTACTGTCACAGGCTCACAGAAGTACTGCAAACATCTTTGTTCTGCAGACTTCAAGGAGAGCACTTAAACAGGAAGAGAGACAATTGGGATTTTTACTTAATGGTTTAAAATGCTGGTATTTAGCTACACACACAACTCATGCACTTGTGCAAAGCCCCAAACCAGCCAGTCTGTACAGACACAGCACCAAAGTAGCTCAGTCACCCATTGAGAAGGTTTAACAGCAGCAACCCCAGAAGGTTTGAAATCCTGGGCCAGCACCTGCAGCCACACACACGTGCCTGTGCCACTAAAGGGTTTGTGCTCTGCCCTCACTGCCATCAGACCTGGGCTTACAAATTCAAAGGCACTTGAACCATCTTCTACACCTGTGGCCAAGCAGCCCACAGGTCTGGGAAGGGAACAAACACAACAGCATGAAAAGTGCTTACAGCTACACATTTCCACAGCCAGATGGAAAACAAAGCAAGTGCAGCCTGTGTGCAGCCTGTCTGGACCTAGACCCACCTCCTGAAACAACTCACTCCATTTTAGAAGTAGGTCTGGACAAAGAAAAGTCTTTCAAAGGAAAGCCTTGTAAGAAATTTTCCCACAAGCTGAGACCTGAATCATTCCAAACACTTTACTTCCAATCATAGTAACAGAGTAAAACAGAAAAAAAATCATGCCATACCTGCTCCAAAGGCAAAGAAGAAGCTCTTGTCTCTGTTCTCCCTTAACAGTGACATCACTCTTTTCCCCATCCTCTCATTCCTCTTGTAGATGAGCTCCTGTCTGAAGTAGCTGTCTATTTCTTGAGCTGTCACCTGCTCATGGGGTGGGAGTGTTGTGTTGATGAAGTTTGGCACCTGAAACAGAGAGAGAGGCCACAGCCCAGGTGGCATTGGTTAAGGAACCCACAAAACACTGCATGTTTTAATCCAGCCTTCTTGAAGCCACCTGAGCACCACTTTTGCACAAAAACCCACTAGAGGATCAGAATATAGGAAGTACTTAGGAACTCTCAAAAAAAACCAATTCCCAATTAATATACTCTCTTTTAAAAAAAGTGAAACTAGTATTTTACTAAAGGAAACTAGCTAGTTTTGATTTTTCTCTGTCCCTTCGTGAAAATGTAGTTTCAAGTGTTACATTTGGGTGAGTTACTTGGACCTTTATTCTCTGCTTGTTCAAAAAAAATCATTGGCCGTTTAATAACAAATTCCTGTGATCTTTTCTCAGGTGAAATCACCATGAACTAAGTAAGGACTGTAAGATTTGGCTTGTATATGTGTTTTTTCAAGAACATAACAGTTTAAAAAGAGGAAAGGATAGCAAATGCAGACACAGGAAGATGCACACAGGGTAAACCCCCTTATCCTTACATGCTATTAGGTCTCAACAGAGAAGACCATGCATTGAAACACATAAATCCCTGGAACATTCCTGATATATCTGAGGAAGGGACTTCCACAAGAACTGCTCCTTCAGTCCCTGCTTTTGTGAGGAGAGATGTTCACAGACACAGCAGAAAGGCTGAAATCTCAAGGACTTTGGTCAGGGCAGCAGACCCAGGAATGACCCAAGCTGTAATGGACAGATAAGCCAAAAGCCTCTGATTATTAGGACAACAACTTGTTCTGAAGCAGTGAAAGTCCCAGGTCTGCCACAAGGGTTTGGGAGCCCACGTGCCCTGCAGAGAGAAGAGCTCTAAGGGGGCAGTCTTTCATGATTGCTAACAGGACCCAAGCACTTTCTGGTGAATTTCTGTGCCTCACCACTGGAAAGCAGCTTAAGCTGCAAACCCCAGGTTCAGATTTCTGAGTCCCTAGGTACATGTAAAGCTGCCAGGATTTCCAGTGTTAATCTGAGCCAGTGGTAATGACATTGCATGCACAGCCCATGAGGGGAACATCCCTCACTCACTGTGCTGAAACACTTGGTACAGTGACTCTGTTACTTGGGTTAATTCCATCTCTGGTTTTCTACTATACAAAATTCCTGTACTAATTTTCTAAAACTTGCCTTTTGTTTTTGTTTTTTAGCCCACCTCTTCCCATTCCATTTGGTCACATGGTTTTATCACAACAATTTTTGTCTGTTCCCACCCTCTTTGCTTATACTGCAACTCCAAAAGTTTTCAGCAAGTCTCAGGGGGAAGAACTGATTTCCATCTTCCCAGTGACTCTCCTTAAAAAATTTTCATGGCAGCCCCATCTGCATCACTCCTAATATATGTGAGGGACCAAGCAGCAGAGATTTCTCACCATGCGTTATGCAGGATGAGTCTACACCTCACTCTGGATTCACACTAAAGGCTGTTCCCAGTTGACTGAGACAGAAAAGGGGACCACATCTCCTGAACCAGGGGATCCTAAGGGAATGGAGGTAACACTCCACGTAACAGACCCTGCCCCAGCCTATTGGGTCTCACAGACCAGCTGGACCTTTGATTTTCCAAACTGCTTCTCAACCTGCTTTGCCAAATCACCCTGCTCCTCACAGCATGTCCTTCTTTAACGGTTCAGTCACATTACCCTGAGTCATTCCTTCCTCCAGGCTTTCCAGCATGGCTTGGCATGACCAGTGTAACCTGTGAACTCCTCAGAGTATGCAAGTACTTTGCACCTTGTTCTCAGTCTAGCCCTGAGCCAGCACTCGACAAGCAATAAGTCCCATTAAGTCAGACCTCTTGGAGACATCAGTTTCCTGTGAAAGCCCAAGGAAGTTACCTCTGTGTCTGGCAAGAATTCGTGTTTGTCTCAAAGGGATGGAGGAGCAGACTGACGGTGTCAAAGAGATAAAATGCTGCTGGCTACAGCAGCAAAGGACATAGTGGCTTCCATTCCTGGTGAAAAACAGCGAGAGATTTATGTTCTAGGAATAAAGCCTGAGGAACGAGTAGCCATTTTACACTTGCAGTAATCTCTGTAATGCAAAGCTGCAAATCAATTGGTCCATGGAGATATCACAAACCTTTGCATCCCCTCTATGCTGGGGCTCTCAGGCAGGAGTCAGGGAAGCCTTTAGGTACTGAAGTGGAAGGTGACATTTTGTGGAAGCATCTCAACACCCACATAAGAGAAGTCTCTTCTTCCCTGCTTCTGGCTGAAGGGAAGTGAAGGCTGGGACCTGGTTTTGAATCACTTGAGCTGCTTTGGGGAATGCAAGATACAGCCTTGCCTGTGAGCACAACCTGCTCCTACACACAGCAGGAGCAGCAATGCTGGGGGACCAAGCAGCTTTGTGCATCTCACTGGTGATGAAGGTCTAGATACCCAAAAAAAAGATGTTGTATCAGGTCTTTGCCAAGAAGGGAAGCACCTTTCACTGCCTTGTGAACTCCAACTTCCATCACTTCCAACTCCATCACTTCCAACTCCATCACTTCCAATCCTACATCCACATTTAACCAAGTTTGTTCCTTCTCTCTATCTAACGTAAAATACAGTACACAAAACAGAAACATTTACTTGCCTCTCCCCGGCCCCTGGCCTTTCCTTTTTTTCCTTCTCTTCTGTGGGGAAAGTTTGTCAATGGCAGAGAGATAAACTTAAAACCAAGAACTGGGTTTTGTCAATCTTTCTTTTGCTTGCCCAAGGAACAAGACAAAAGAAGGCATCACTTAGAGAGGCACAGCATCAGCTACAGGTCCTGCTGCACTGTGTGCATTCCTGCATTTCTGATGCCTGGCAAAAACAAAATCTGCACGTGTGTTTCAGTGTGTGTGTGGCAGAGGAGAGAAGATAAATGACTGCAGTAAGTATGCCCCTACACAGTAGTGCAACCACACTCTGAGCTGTGACACTTGCCCCATTAATCACCTCCGCTCCTCCCTGTATCCAGGTCCTTTCCACAGTCAGTGACACACACCATGCCTGGCTTCAGGGAGACAGCTGCTCCTGTTGATTTAAGAAACCCTTAAACCAGACAGGGATCAGGAAGTCAAGAAACAGTCACACACAATTAGAAAACTCTTAACTGGAGCCAGAATTTAAGTTGGGGGGGGGTTTTGGAAAAGAGAAGATCTGTTGTTTTAAAAGAATGGTCTAAATATGCACCAAAAGGATGTACCTTCCCCCTTCTATTTTATTGTAATTTTGTGAAAAAATTAATTTTAACATTTTAATGATATGAATATGTTGGTTTTGAGCTGAGAGTGAATGACTGAGACATTTGCTGTGCCCCTGGGTGATGGACTGCTCTAATATACCTGAATATTACTACCAGTATTTAAATGTACAGTAGAGTGGATCATGTGTCCATTGAAAAATCCAAACTCCTAATTTTGCTGTTCACATAGGAGAGTAACAGCTGGATCAGGAGAAAAATGCATCACCTGGGGTGTGCTCACTTCTAGTGGATACACATGATAAGAGATAAATAGATTCTTTACATCCAGTCTCTGCAAGCTGGGCAGTTTTCTAAGAACCTAACCAACTCATATTTATATACAATTCTAGTGGAAACTCAATATTGTATCTCACTGAGGCATTCAAAATAAAGAATATTTTGTTTTACTTAGTAAGGTAACACTCCTTTATTCTATTCCTATTTCCTTTAGGTTACAGCTCTCCTACAGACAGTACAGATGGACCACAAACTCAGTTATTAGGTACACCCTGCATTTCTCTGTTAAACTTTTATGGTTAAAGAAAGGGACTATGAGAATAAAAAAGAAATCCCAGCCTTGCAAACATTTCTTTCCCTCCCCACTGTCTGTGTAGTTTTACTTGAGTCAGTGTCCCTGATGGAATATATGTGTGGATAAAGCTCTGTACACACGTCTGAGCTCACAGTGCTGTGGGATGTGGGCCATAATTCTTCACCTTTGAAGTCAGTGGGAGCTTTAGGGAGAAGAAAGAGGAAGGATTGTGCAGTGGTTATGACACTACCCTGAAAAAATGGTTCTGCTCCCATGGGTGATACAAATCTCTTACATGATCACAAGCATGTCATTTGGGTTTAAACCTTCAAAGGAAACTCAGCACTTAACCTCCACTAAGTGTCTTTGAAGCATTTGGCTTTATTCCTCCTGTGTCTCAAAAGTCCATCTGTAAAATGGGGACAGAGACTTTCTAAAAAGACTTTCCACCTTGATGTTACATACAAGGCACTGGCTAAGTCCAGCTCTGGAGGGACCCAAAGGAAGATCCGAAGTCCAACACAATGCTCAGCAGTAACCTCTCTTCCCATAAATTTCCACAGAGGCTTGGATTCTGCTGCAATCATTAGCATAAGAGCTAAGAAGATACTTTAGCTTAGAAAAATACACCAGCCATAACTCAAGATCTATGCTATGCTTTCAGCTTTGTCTGTAGACACAAAGAGAAAGAAAAGACAAAAAAAAAAAAAACAGAAAGAGAGACAAGCAAAATGTAATGGTGCAGAGTCTCTTATCATATTTAGGGCTTACTGCCAAAGTTCAGCTGAAAATTCATGGACACAGGACTACATTAAAAGTCCATTTTTTAAATTTACTATTTTTTAATATTTGGACAAATATTCTGGGTAGAGGCACAATGCCAGAGTTGTGAACATCTATCTGCAAATAAATTTTTTTTGGACACACATAAGCACCATCATCTTTGATTACATTTTTTTTTTACTTTGGATTTATTATCTACAGTGGAACTGCTCTAGACTCAGTCCAGTATCAAATCATTATCATATGTGGAGTAACAGTGTTATCATTCCTACTCCTATGCACTACATTTCCCAATCCTCTGATAACCTTGTTTAGCCTCGTTCTGTTCCAGTGATGAGACTATTTCTGGAATGTGCATTCAAATCGTAATATTTTGTCAATCAAAAAAGAACATTACCAACAATGGAATAAAGAGCTGTGTGCCTTTCCTCACCTGCTTGT